GGCGGCGTGGTCCCGTCCGGGCAGCTCCTGCGGGACGAGACGGAGCAGCGGTCACGGGGTGCGGGCAGCGGCAGGCGGCCGGGCGGGGAAGGAGTGCGCAGCCCTCGAGGAGTGCGTCCTGGCTGGGACGGTGGCCCGAGGGCGCACGGAGAGCCCCTGCGGGAGTTACCCGGCCGACCGCCCGGGTGCGGTGCAGCCTGTTTAGACTGGGGTCCGGCGGGCAGTCGGGGAGCGCAGCGACTGCTCCTCAGTCACTCACCGTGCCCGGCTGCGACTGCAGCGGCGGCGGCTAGGCGGGAGCGCAGCGGCCGGAGCAAGCGAGCGAACGAGCGGAGCAGAGAGCCGCCTGCACTAGTGCCGGAGCGTGTGCGATAGGCGAGAGGGAGACACACGCACTCACACAGCAGCACACGCGGGAGCGCCGTGCGGGGAGGGCGGGGAGGGAGGCCAGCCGCTCGCCGCCGCCCACGTTTACACGCCTGGGCGCCCGGGTGGGGGACGGCAGGACTCCTCTTTGCCTCTTCCCCCTCACTCGAAGCTCAGCGTCACCAAAGCCCGGACACCAGTTAAGCAACACCGCGCACTAAGCTGGCAAAGAGGGAGCTCACCCTGCTCCCCACTTCTCATGCCCGGGAGCAAGAACAGAGTGAGCTCTCTGGGAGCCAGCCGGCGGCAGAGTCAGACGTCCACTGACACTGCCCTTCCTGCCTTCATGGTCAAGTACCACCCCCCCCCCCCCCCCCGACACTCCCCACACTCCCCCACCCTGCGCTTACCTTAGCCTGGTCTTTGCGCTTCCAGAAAGCAAATTGGGGTTTCTGCAAGCCTCTGCCTCTCCCTAGTGGTGATGCTTGCAGCCAAGATAAAAGGTCAAACCCATTGCTACAGGTTCCTACACTGAGGCCAGGGGTCAAGTGGCTCTTGGGCCATTAAGTGCCCTGAACCTAGGCTCTTTTCTTCTTCGTCTCTCATACAGGAATGAAATTTCTGGGAGACCCCTAGAATTTCCTCTTTCTCCAACTTTTTTTCCAGCGTTGAGAATGAGTTTAAAAGTTAAAAAAAATTATATATATAAATACCTGGGCTTTAAAGATTCCTTTAGGAAACTCCTGTATCCCCTGTTGTTGCTGCAAAGGAAGACGGGTGGGAATCAGAGGGAGGCATTCCCTCTGGACCAGAGTAAGGTAGGCATTCCCTGTGAGCAGATTGGCTGAAAGAAGACACGAGTCTGACTTTCCAAGCTCTGCCACCACCCCAAGAGGGAGTCAGAGTCCTAGTTTGGCGGTGTCCTTGGCAGAGGAGGGGAGCTGAGAAGAGGAGAAACAGCAGCAGTAGGCCAAGCTTCTGCCCATGCATCCTGAGTTCTTTGGGGGAAGGCAGGGGACAGACTGTCAGAACGATGGCAACAGAAATTTCCCTGAAATAGTCCACTCAGTCCTACTCAGCGGGTGATTCAAACAAAAGATCAGCATTCAGGAAGAACTGGCAGTAAGTAGATGTATTGAATTGGAGCTGAAAGCCGGATTCCAAGACACAGAAGAACAGGACTCTTCTGGAAACTCTCCCGTGCACTACTCTTTCTCTCCCTCCCTCTTCTTCTTCCTGGGCACTTCCTGTTTCCTCAGCTTCATCTTTTAATGGTTCTGCTAACAATCACTGTTAATGCCAGTCCTGCCAGGCATATTGGTAAGTGCTAAGCTAAGAAAGAAGTAGCATAGCCCCTTCTTTATGGAGCTCGTTTACAGAGGACTCAGCCAAATGAGTTCTGCCTGGTGTGTTTGTGCGCACAACAGAGATGGGCACAGCTTATTCTGTGAACAGGGTACAGGCAGGTAGCATAGCCCGAGGGAGGAGCAGAGAGGGGCAAATACAGTTCTCAGGGTACTCTTGAAACACATGGTGAAGAATGATTAAGCGTTAGAAACACAAACAAGAAGGTAAAGATGCAGAGGAAACAGGGAAACTGGAAGAAATGAGTTGGTGAGGGTGGGTGAGCTAGGCATTACAGAGTGAGGAAACCCTTAGAGGGGCTTCTAAATGAAGGCAGCTGGAGGGCACTGTAGGCCCTGCCAAAGAATTTGTTTGTACTTCAACTGCTGGGGAAATATTGGTGAATTTTAATAGTGGAAGATGCTATCACATGTATAGGTTTGTTACATCTCCAAGTCTCCTGAAGGAGGAAACACCAACTGAACTGGATGCAAGGAAAGCCATTTAGAAGTTGTGCTCACAATCCAGATGCAAAGATGCTGGACATATGGGAGGTGATGCCTGCAATGGATGTGATGGTCTCATTCAGAAGAGCAGGCTTAAGACAGTCAGCAGTGGTCATGTGGAAGTGTCTTTGAGAGGTCTGCCTGAGGCTGCCCCCTTCCTCCCCCATACAGCAAGAACAGAAAGCTCAGAGGATGTAAATATGCACACACCCTTGGTATTCAGGGTGATGTGTTTGAAGAAAGCAACACCGTGCCCTTGAATATGGATGCTGTGTGTGGTTTCTAAGCCAATCTCTTCCTGTCTTCTGGTTTTGCCATCTCCTTCATTTGTCCAGGATTTCCACTGGTTTATCTGTCCGCTCCCTCAGAAATAGGTGGAAGAATAAATTGTTCCCATGATAGACTCTAACAAAATTTCCTCAATGATACCAATAAAGGGAAATTGACTATGTTTTTCAAGTCAGCCTCCCCTCATAAGGACAAATGTGTTGTCAGTTCCTGTGCTCCTAAATTGCGACATCAACTCACAGAAACAGTATTTAGGGAGATGCGAAGTCGTTTATTCTGATCCTTGATGCAATACACTCTCTTTTGTAACTGCGACCTCTCCTGTTCACTCTATGGAGTTGACCAGGTGACTCACTCTCCATCACGCTTCCCCCAGACCCTATCCCATTTTCCCTTTAGGTTTCAGCATTTGATTTTTGGCAGTATTGAAACATCCTTTATTTGTGGACTTGACCCATTTAAAAGTTCCAGAGAAGAATCCTTCCCCCCCCCCCAAACCTACAATGACTTTCCAAAGCCCTAAGGCTATGGGGAAAGTGTCCCAACTATTGTTATTTATAAAAGGTGTGTTCCAATTGGTCTGAGCCAGCTGTAACAACCACCTTCTCTTTAGCAAGGATTGGCTAAAAATGCTTATGTGGGGACTGCAGAGATGGCTCAGCAGTTTAGAGCATGAACTGCTCTTCCAGAGGACCTGGGTTCAATTCCCAGCAACCACAACTCACAACTCACAACTGTCTGTAACTCCAGGATCCAACATCCTCACACAGACATACATACAGGCAAAACACAAATAAAGTAAAAATAAATACAGAGGAGGAGGAGGAGGAGGAGGAGGAGGAAAAGGAAGAAGAGGAAGGTTTATGTGCATGTGTGCGTGTTCTGGTCAGTGTAGATCAAGGCAAGCTAATGGGGAGTGTTTGGGTGAATATTGTTGCTGTAAAAAAAGGATGATAATTCCTCACTTTTGACCAGGGTTGCTCTGGATGGAAGGGCATGACAAGGAGGTGGTATTCAGGTTGATATTCCTCAATACTTCTTACTGGGTGTGCCTGCTCTGCCCTTGAGGCATACAGTGGAATTGCAACCCAGGGGCCTCCTGTAAAAGGCAGCAAGCTAACGTCATCTAGAGGATATTACACTGACCAAATGTTTCAGTAAGGTTGACCTATAGAGCGTTTTCTTCATGAGTGATTGATGTAGAAGGCCCAGCCCATTGTGGGTGATGCCACTCTTGGGCAGCCAGTCCTGGGGTGTATGTAAGCAAAATGTGGGGAGCAAGCCTGTGAGCAGCAGTTCCTCCCACCCCATCACCCCTCATGCTCATGGGCTCTGCTTCCGTTCCTGCCCTGACTCCCTTGGATGATGGACTGTGATGTGGAAGTGTAAGATAAAATTAACCCTTTTCTCCCCAAGCTGCTTTTAGACTTGGCGTGTTTCTCATAACAATAGAAACCCTAACTGAAACAGGGAGATAAATGGACAGGTAGAGTTCATTCAGTGAGCTGTGAGCAGGAATTGTGTGTGGTGTTTCAGAAGCACAACATCTAATTGCAGTAGCATCACATCCAACACTCTAGTTTCATTCTGACGCAGTGATCAGCCAACTTCCCTGTAAGAGTGGTTTTGGTACCCAGGGGTGGCTCTCAACATTCGGCCATGTATATCCACATAAGGCCTGAGAAAACTGAAAAAAGAAATAATGTGAACAAGCAGCTTCCTGGCTACTGAAGTCTCAGATAGGCTGAACATACAGAGGTTCTTTTAAGAGGCCCTGCTGTGCAACCGAACCCTTGAGCAGCTGGCATTGGGTACAACTGCCTGCCACAGGCAGACACAATATTCCCAGATCTGGCTCTGGGACGGTGACCTGCCTGTATGAGGCTAAGTTCTGACAGAACAGAGAGGGGTGGAGCTAGCAGCCAACTTGCAATGTTCTAAGTGGAGTCCTCCAGTGATAGGTAGTCTAACAGTTTAAGTTTGTCTCAGGTGGTCAGAGGAGGCTTCAGACACCCAGGAAGTCAGATCCAGACTGAGAAAACCTCTGAACAGATATAATATGCTTTGAAATGTCCTTAGATGCCAAAGAAAGAAA